CATTATATATTTTCCTTTTGTCGTCCCTTTGTTTGGTTTAAAATGGGATAGGTCCAAACAATTTCTTTTAGTTAGAATTCTATAATAAATAAAATTTTAAATTATAAGGCATAAAATTTGTTCCTAATAAAGTTTACTTTTATGTATATTTAATCTTAATCATGCTTATGCATATTATTTTTATGTTGTTTAAGTTAATTGCAAGTTTAATTTTATATATTTTTAATTTGCTTATTAGTTGGATTGCTATGCTTGTTTTAATTTAATCTTTCATGCTTTAATCTATATTTGGCACATTTTATTTTCCATGCACTTTAGATTTATACAAAACAAATAATAATAATAATGATGATGATGATGATGATGATGATGATGATGATAATATGATGAAAATATCTAAGGATGAGATTTTAAGGAAGTCCGAGTAACGATTCCTTAAATTTTCTAAGTGAGAATATTTTTCTAAAAAAAATATTACCAAAGTAATTGAGTATTTAGAAAAGTATTTAATACAAAAAAATTTTATTCAATTACCTAAAATTATATCTACAATTAAATGGTGATAAAAAATAATAATAATGAAAAGAAAAGTGACTCGTTTTAATAACGAAATTAATATAATGCTACATGAATGTTAGTATTAACAACTTTTGCTTTTCAAAAAAGTAATTGAAATTATTTATATATAATGATAATAATACAAATTAAAAATTAGAATTAGAATAAAAATTAAATACAAAAATCTCCGAGGATGGGATTTTAAGGAAGTTCGAGTAAAATTTAGTAAGAAATCCCTAAGTGAGAAAATTCTTTTAAAAATATCACCAAAGTATTGAGATATCTAGAAAAATTTTCAATAAAAAAGATTTTCTTTGCTTTGTTACTTTTTAAATTTTTTTATAATAATTATCGTAAAATAATTACGTGATTAAGACAAAATTAAAATGAGTAATGAAGAAACATAATATAAGGAAGATAAATAATATGTTTTTTAATATATATAATATGTAATAAAAATATAATAAAATAAATTTTTTAAAAAAGATATAAATATTAAATTAAAAAAAAACTTTTGTATCTATATTGCACCTTATCATTGGCATTGCATAATCTTGAAAGTAATGAGAGTTTCCAATGATGGGACTTCGGGAATTTCGAGTAGTAATTCACTAGAATTCCCTAAGTGAGAGAATTTTTCTAAAAATATTATCAAAAAATTAAAATATTTAAAATGATTCTCAATATGAAAATTTTTCATTTATTTTTCGCTTATAAAAATGAATTTTTATATAATGCAATAGTATCACAAATTAATCCATGTGCATCATATTAAAAATATAATAATAAACAAAATCTTCAAGGATGAGATTTTAAAGAAATCCGAATAGTGATTCTTTAGCAATTTCTAGGTAAGAAAATTTATCTAAAATATCGCCAATATATTGGAACATTTAGAATAATTTTTAATAACGATTTCCAATATAAGAAAGGAATTTTTAGAGAATATTATTTGATTTTAAATTTTAAATGCCATATTTTACAATATGCTTATAAAATATTAATTTTGAATATAAATTTTAACTATCAATGATGGATTCTTGAAAAGTCCGAGTAGTAATTCTTAAGAAATCCTTAAGTGAGAAAATTCCTCTTAACATTGTCAAAATATTGAAATATTTTAGGAATTTTTTAATATGTAAGGTTCTTATTTATTTTTCAAGCAAAAAACTAAAAATAAAATATGTTTTTTTTTACTACAATAAAGAAAATTAAGAAAATTAATTTTAAATACCAAAATTAAGACCCATTTAGCCAAAATTAAAAAATAATACATAATTAATTGATACCGTTTTAAATGGGTATTGTGGGATGCTAATCTTTTCTTATGCGTAATTGACTTTCAAACCCAAATTTTTTTCGTAGACCCAAAAATTATATTTTTAATAAATTTTAATTTATTTTATTAAAAAATAAGTTTTAATAGGTAACTAAACGCATCTAGCCAAAAAAGATTAGTGATAACTTCTTTTTTTTTTTCAAATTCGTTTAGCAGTCCCCAAAACCGTGATGACAATTCATTATTTATTTATCTTAGATAAATTCTTTTAAGAAATTTTCTTGAAAAATTTATCTGACTTTAACTAACTTTAAGTCACCTTCTAGCAATAAGAATTTTTATGATAACCCCTAACCCAATTTTTAGACACTAAATGGATATTGATTTGTGTGATGTTTAGTCACTACGTAAAACTTAATCCAAGCAAGCTGAAAATATATATATATATATATATATAAATGTATCTTGTGAATTCATCTGAAGTTCCAAATAAATCAAGCCTAGATTTATCTTTTGTTTTAGTCTTAAAATGAATCTTTGTTTACTATTATAGCCTTCAATCAAAATTTCTCATAAAATTGCAAAATAAAACCTTAAGATTGTAACTTGAACATGGGATTCAAAAAACTAAGATTGATGAAAGGTTTCAAGGTGTGTAATAGTGCCATTTTCTTTAAAATTTTATTCGGCCCCACCATTTGATTAATTGGTATGAAAAAAATTTATTGATGATAAACCTCGAAAATACAATAAAGCCCAATGATTGATTGCATTTTCAATGACTAAATCAATCAACTAAGCATTCATCAACATATAACAAGACTATCAATCTTCTATGAAAAATTTTTGCAGCAAAATTTTATAGAAGTAATTTGAAATTTATTTGAACAATGGAAGAAGAATTTAACATAAATTGTTATATCTAAAAATTGTTATATTTTCCAAAATTAGAGATCTATGTGCAATAAAATAGACATCTCTTTTGTATAGGCATGACCATCCACATAGATCTTTATTTATATAGACATAACAGTTTAAATATGTGTCTACTTAGACATACACAATTTTTCAAACATAATTTTTAACAAATAATCATGTCTTTTAAAGGAATGTAACTTTTACCATCACATGTAATTCATTTAATATATTATTATTAAAAATGTTCCAACAATCTTCCATCATTTTAAAATAATCAAGATAAATAATAATCTTGAAATCAATTGCATAAAAAAAGGTATCTTACAATTTAAACCTTCACTTAATGAAAATAAGTTAAAATTAATCGAAATTGCATGGTAAACTATGCTTTGAATAAGCTATTTCATTTGGTTAACCTAATGGATGCTCGGTATCTAAGGACATTATTTTGGCCATGTGTCTACATCCTTTTTTCATGAATGTTGTTAGCGCCAAACCTTTGAACTCCTAAAACTAGCCATACTTCACACTCACTTAAGTAGCTCCCATTAAGAGTATTCTCGAAACTATAACATTTTAACATATATATATATATTATAGGTCTATTACGAGTATAACATCATCCTTCTCTTATCATTATGAGTAACAAGCACTTTACTTGGGATGAAAATAGAAGATTATAGTGCTTACAATTACAAACCGATAATATATTTTGGCTCATTGAACTCAAAACTTGACGTTATATCAAGTTTTGAGTTGATTTTCCATCATGAATGACTTTATATTATAGATTCGAACCTCATCACTAAATTTCTAACATAGCTATGTTAATTTTTAATACCACATGATGAAACTTTGACAATAATTTTATCTTAAAGGTTTATAAGACCAACACCTCCATGTATGTATATCTATTCTTTATGTTTTAATTCAACTATTAAGGATATCTTTTATATAATTATCATAATAATTCAACTATTAAGGATATCTTTTATACAATTATCATAAATTCTTTTAATTTTATAGTGATCACTTTCTCTTTATTCTTGTTATGATAATTTTACATTTGTTAATTTTATATATTTCTTGATATCCCATGAAATTAATGTCATTACCACCAAATTATGAACCATATATCATATAGTCTTTTCAATAAGTTATTGTAAAGAAGCCTTAAATCCTTTAGTGAAACAAGATAATGTTTTTACTATTTTTCATAGCTTCTAATCATAGTCAATTTAAGACTAAAATTTATTGTGTATATATACTCAAATAGCACGACATTTTGTCAACAAATTACATAAATACACAAAGATCTTTAATATATCATTTTAGAACATAATCAATATTAGAGGACAATCAATGGACCTATCAAGTAACTATCAAAATATATATGCACCCTTTATCATGGACATTATTAGCCATTTTTATGAATCAAAACCATATCCATCACCCAAACAAGTCAAATAACATTCAAATAATAATTCATTTCATTTTCTTAATATTTGGTAAACTGTACCAATATTCTCCATGCCATTACAAAATGAAATTAAACACATACATTTGTCGAGTGCATTCGAAACATACTTGAATTTGCATGTTCTTTTTCAATTCATAAACATGGCTAAATAGACATTGGTGAACACTCTTCAAATTGCTAGTAATCTAATGACATGTATTTTTCTTTTAATGAACATTCCATTTAATCCAAATTACTGGCAAATTTTAGTTAATAATACTAACATAAAATTTACAAAATATAAGGATGTCATAAATATATATCCTTAATATATTTGATTTTACCATCGGCCATTGTTCTTCATGTTATTTGTTGATTACATATAATAAACTTGCACTAATACTAGTACTTTTTGACAATTTTCATTCACACTAATGCGGGGAACCCGGCTTCACTCGACTTGTTAGAAAAATTTATAATATTTCATTTAATTGGTATTTGATTGAATTTAAATTTAGAGTGATACGTGTAATTAAGATAAAGTAATTGGTAATATAAAATTGTTAATTTTGAATAACAACTTTTTATTGCAGAAGAATTGGATAGAAAATTTTCAAGTTCATTCAGGGTTGTTAAGATTTGAAGAGAACTATATACCAAAAAAGCAAAATTTAATTTAAAAACTGTGTTGCTAAAGTTGTTGATAATATTTTATTTCTTAAATTAAAAAAGCATACATAACAACATCTAACATAAAAATATTATTAATAATAGCAGTACATTTTTAACCCAATACAAACTTTTAAAATAAAAAGATTATGTTTTACTAAAGTATGTGTTGTCCTATTACTTTTCTACTTAATATGTTGAACCAAGCATTTCTCAAACTTCAAACTCTTATCAACTACAAAGCATATGTGCATCTTGAAAATTAATGAATAAAGAGCCTACTCAAATCATTCGAGCTATTAGAATAGGGATCTTTCTTATAATTGGATGTTTTTCACCATGCTCATTAGGACCTCCAACTCGAGTGAAATACATCACACTTATAATTGGATGCTTTTCACCATGCTCATCAAGACCTCTAACTCAGGTGAAATACATCACACATGATGACTCGAAGGAGACAATGCCAATTCCATCTTCAAATCGCATGAGATCAACATGAGCACATATTCCTGCACAATAAACAATTAAAAATTTCATAGATATGATATTCCTTGGTTCTGGGAAAACATAAACAATTTAAAAAATGTGATGTCGTACCTCACCTAGATGGTATACATTTACAATTAGTTGTTCAAATAGAGGTTCTCTCCACAATAAATTTAATGGTAATAGAAAGAAAGGGTTTGGTGCCCTTATTAGATGTATCCAAGTCTATAGATTCAGATACATGATTACCAACAAGCACTATTTCACGTATAGAGTTAGAAAGTTTAGTAGCCCAAGCTGAGAGATCTCCAAATCTCATGTCCTGAAGGAAACATAATTAAAACATAAATTCAAGAGAAAGAAAAAGCACAATAAAGAGAACTTTGAAAATTTAAGAGTATGTGGAGAATTGAATTAGATAAACCAATAAAGAAATAGTTTTAACAAAAATTTGATACAAAGACAAATCTTGTAGTAAGAGAAATTGTCTCAAATAATCTATTTTAATGATGAACCAACGACCATCCTAGAAGAACCCCACCAAATTCAGCAGACTTGTCCCCTACAACCTTTCTTTCCTCACAAAAACCAAAGTCATGAATCTCATTCTAGTTGAATATTCAAATGCAGTAACTTCATCATCTAACACTTAAAAGTGCTTAAATTCAAACAATGCCCTGTGTATTGCTAAAAAAACCCACCCAAAATACTTATCAAATTAAAACAAAACTTTTCTCAACAACATGCAATTAGAAAAAAAAAAAAAAAACCCACCCAAACAATTTTGGACTACTAAAGAAATAATAAGATCCATAATTGAATTCTCTTTACAAGTGTTTAAGAAAAAACCCAAAATCTTAGAATATTCTCTCTATTTCCTTTCTCATTAGAGATGGAAAGAGTTAAAATAGAAAAAAAATAATTAACTAATGAAATCATATCATCCACAAAGCTTTTAATAGACTAAGAATTAAGAAAACTAAACCTTTCACTCATCAGAACGTAACCTAGAAATAGTTTCTCAAGAATCAAACTAATTTTTGTCTAACACAAATATTTAAAAAAAAATGGTTGTTTTCTAGTTTTGATGATATAATAATAAAAAAAAAATTAAAAGAAAAAAAGAAGAAAAAGTAAAGGGAGAAAAAAATGCATTACCTTCGTGAAGAGGAAAAGGTAAAGGAAAACAAAAGGGAATAATAGAAGTATTAAGAAGGATTAAAAGAGGGTTTGATTGAAAGAGAAAGTTTCAAACTTCGAATACTATTTTCGTTTATCTTTTTATTAGTCTGTCTCAGCGGTGTGAAGAAATAGAGAAAAAGACAAACAAAAGCATATAAAAACAACCATCAATGGCTCAGTGCATTGCTTAAAAAAAAAAAGGCAAAGCTAACCTAAAAACCAGTCACGTGGTAATTTCAGGATCATTCGTGATATTTTTTTATATATAATAGTATAGATTTATCATTTATTTTGTACATGTCAATATAATCTTGATTAACCAATGTTGCCATTAAAAAAGAAATTAAAGATAAATAAGCATGAAACTTGTATCTAACACATAATTCTGCAAAAATAAAAAATGATTATGCCACTTCTCAATCACACTTATTAAAAACAAAGACAAATAATTCATAGTATATTTATCTTAAATCAATACTTTTAAGAAATTTTCTTAAAAGTTTGAGCAAACTTAACCATCTTAGAGCCATCTTCTAATAATAGAAATTTTTATTATAATCCTTATCCCAAAACACAATTTTAATATATTAAATGGATATTGATGAATGTGATATTTTAAATAATATTAGATAGAAAAGTTTAGTGAACAAATTTGAATGTTTTAAATTTTTATAAAACGACATATGTTTTGAACTTTTCACGGATTTTTTTTTAGATTGACATAGGTCTTAATTTTTTTTTTAATTTAAACTTAAATAGAAAATTTTAGATTTTTTGTAAAACAAAGATAGAGAAAAAGGAAAAAGAAGAAAGAATAAAATAATATAATAGGTATGAGGCTTTTTCACCATTATAATTTTTATTTATATATATATTTATTTATCTTTTTTGATAAATATAATCTTTAGCAAAATTATAATTTAATTCTTGTACAAAAACCATAAAATATAATAAAAATTTATTATTTAAATAACTAAAAGAAATGTACGTAAATGTGTAAAAAATATAATTTTTAAAAAATAAATTATATGAATAAAATTTTAAATTTATTTAAGTAAATTACACCGAAGATTGGGACAAAAAGAGTGGACTTTATTCAATTAATTTTTCATTTGTATAAAAATCTTTTCTTAATTTGTGTTTACATTCTTTAAGAATAAGCTTTAAATTTATTATGTTTAGAATATTTTTCTCATTAAAATCTTGATTTTATGAATTTATTATAATTTGTATTAGAGTCAATTTGTTAAATAAAAAAGTTTTAATCATTAAAACTATCATTCAATTAATTTGAAATAAATTATTACGCATATATTCTAATATATAAATATATATTTGTATATTTAAGTGAAAGAATATTCCAAAAAAAAGAAAAATCTGGAAACGAGCGGAAGCGTTTTAGTTTTTATCTTCCGACGAAAAGCATTTTGACATGATGATATTGGCGGGGTCGATCTGTGGGTAGTAAAAGCGTGGGACAGGCGGGGCTGATTGAGTCTTATCATTGCCTCGTGCATGCTATCCTTTTCCTTTGACTGTAGCCCACCCACTTTATGATTTGAACCTTCTCTATTGCTTCATTTTTCTTTTATTTTTTTGGCTGGGGACGACCTTACCACTTGCCGTAAAATTTCAGCCTTTTGTTATCATGGGCAGAAACAACGTTTTTCTTTTCTAAGCCTGCAGGAGCCTGATGATTTGGTGCTTCCACATTTTGACAGTTGTGTTTAATAATGCATTGAAATTTTTTAAAGTATAAAAAAATGCAACATTTTAATTTTTAATAATTCATCTTAAATGTTATTTAACAAAATTAAAAAAAAAACGTTGAATTGAATATATAAAAAAATTAAATTGAGTAAGTAGATAGCAGAACATATTCAGTCAATTTTATTTAAAATTATATTTAAATTAAATTATACATTTTTAGTCTTATTTAAAATTATTCATTTTTAAAATTAAATTTTCACAAGTATCAAATAATATAATTATATTCAGAACATAAAACATATCAAACAGTTTTGAAATATAAATTTAATATTAAACTTGATTTTTTAATTTATCAAACAGCACTTAAATACACAGATTTTTGTTCTACGTGCTAATGGAAACAAGATTTGTCTCCAGGCATGTAAAATGAAAAAGAAAAGTACAGTAAAAAACTTACATCCATATATATATACTATGGCCGATGTACGTTGTATGATATGCGAGTAATTTTATATAGAAGAGAAATTCCCAAACGTTTTGTTTGAGGAATTATTAGGGAGTAGGGACATGTACAAGGCATAAATCAATCAGCAAAAATTGTGATTGGTTTGCCTACAAAAATCAATATTAATTCAAACACAAATAATATATCTGGCCCAACGAATCAATCGATACAAATCACTTTACTGCATTCTGGTATTCTTTCACAATCCAACAGTCTGAGAGGTCCGATCAAAGAATCTCAATTCTCAAAGCTTTCGCAATCAATCACGCGCACCACCATCCAAAGATAGGCCCCACTCCCCCCTCGTGGGCAGAATTATTGCCCACGATTCCTCGGCCCACTTCTACGCGCCTTTTGCTCTCTTTTGCTTTGCTTCGCTTATTTATTACATTAAAATTCTCCTCCTCTCCAGAATGCAGTTAGTCCCAACCCACTAAATATGATTGTTATGTTATACAGGCAGGCAGAGGCAGACGAGCCGACCTGATCTTGTCCAAGCTAATTATTATTCTTTTACTACCGTAATTACTAGGTCAGAACCTGTCTATTGTCTAATTTCTCCCACACGGCCATCTCTTTGTTGTTTTTATTAGATTTTTGGCTTCTTAATTTATCCCCAAATTACCATGAGGATGATGATAGACCTTGGAAGCCAGAGAGGGCCTCTCCATATAAATATGATGGACACGACAACCTCTGTGGAGTGTGGCAGGGAAGTTAGGTTCCGCCGATCTTTCAGATCCCTGGTGGAATGTATGGTTCCTTGTTGTGGCTTTCAACCTCCAGTCTCAATCTCCAGCGACACGGAATCGACCCATGGCTCAATTAGTTCAACGGTCACAGGAACCTTCTTCGGGTACAAGAAAGGGCGTGTGAGCTTCTGCCTCCAGGATGGCACGCGGACCTCTCCTCTTTTGCTACTGGAGTTCGCTGTCCCCACCGCATACCTTGCCAGAGAGATGCAGTACGGTCTGCTAAGGATAGCGCTGGAATGCGACAAGCAAAAAGAAAGATGCAGCTGCTGCTCGCTCTATAACGTGCCCGTTTGGTCAATGTGCTGCAATGGAAGGAAGGTGGGATTTGCCATAAGGAGGCAGATAAGCGTCAATGATGCCGCAGTGCTTAAGCTCATGCAGTCCGTGTCGGTTGGTGCTGGAGTTTTGCCGGTTGCCTCAAAGTCTGAGGAGGATGGGGACCTCATGTATCTGCGAGCTAGTTTCGAAAGGGTAATTGGGTCAGCCGACTCAGAATCATTTCACATGCTTAACCCAGTGGGTAGCGCCGGTCAGGAGCTCAGTATATTTCTGTTGAGATCATGACACCTGCATATATATATATAGATATAGATAGATATCCCTATTTAATTTGGTCCAATCAAAAGATTTTAATCCAACCAAACCCTTGAGGGTTGAAACTATGCTTTTATATATTAATAATTATATGATAGGATTATTAAATTCTTACTTCTTAATTACAATTGTTAGTCATAACTTTCTTCCAATTTCCAATGTGTATAGGTGCTTGTCTAATTCCATATCATACCATATCGTCCTTTCGTTACTAGAGTTTCTAAAATAATTGGAAAAATCTAAAATCAATTCAAATTGTCGTATTTGATTTGGGTTTGTTATTTTTATTTCATATGGAATTTTAAAGATGCGTACTCATTCGGATTGATTTTTATTCATTATAATATAAAAATTAAAATATTTAAATTGAATCAAATTTTATTTTTATTAATTTTTATATTATTTTATAAAATAAAATTGATATATCTTTATTCATAAATTTAAATAAATAAATAATATTTAAAAATAAAAATAAAAATTAATGATTAATGATTAAAACTAATACAAACACGTAAAATTTTATTTAAATTAAATCAATTTTTTTATTTATTCCCTTTAATTTCGATTCAGGTTTTAAAAAATCATAAAACTATTTATTAATTGAAATTTTTTGGAAATGGAAGTAAACCATTATTATTCTTATCCATCACCATTCTATAGTAATTAAGTTCTATTCTATATACATATATACATAGCAGTAATACTAATCACACACACTCACACAAGATCATGACAAGATCAATTAAATTGCTTTTTTACTCTTGGTTATAATATAACGCAGTCCATAATTATCTTCTATTTCATTTTGTCCAAAACACACAAATATAAATATCAGTTTGCAATTCTAATTTCTCTTAGTACATAAAGAAACCAAGTTAAAATCTTCATCCTTTAATTTGTTATATGTGATACTCACTTTAAATGGGATTATAAAAAATATATATATAATTGCCAGTTGGCGGAGTAGGAGGGGAAGTAAAATTCCCTTAAAAGTTAAAAACATTAGTTATCAAGTCTCATTCAGAATAGTGATCATTAAAAAATTGAACACATATTTAATATGTTTATATATATATATATAGATAGATAATATTTTGTATTACTACAAACATAGTTTCTAGCTAATTACAAAATTTTTATTTCTTTTGCTAACAATGTTCCAAATTTATTTGGTGATTTCAATTTAAATCACAAAATTACTATTGGGTAAATGTAAATTTGTTTTATTCAAATCCTAAAAGGTATATATATATATATATATATATATATATGTGTGTGTGTATATGTGTATGTATGTATATATTCACAAAAGTGGCGGTTGTAATTGTTGACTTGATCGGTCAAAATTGAAAAATAAAAAAATTTAAAAGTTTATTTTCTCTTGAACACCCAAAATTTTTTTTTAAATATTTTTATTTTTTGTTAGATGATTATTTTGTTATATATAAAAAAGATAATATTAGCAATGATAGTGCAATTATATTTTTTTTAAGAGAAAAAAATTCATTTGCCAACTGTTCCTGCAATATAAATTACACTTGAAAGGTACAGATGACTCCCCATTTAGAAACATTCTCATGAATTAAGATAGGTTTGATGGACAGGAAGCTTAATTTTCTTTATCCTTCTGGAAAAAATCCCCAGTCCCAGGCCAAATGAATCCAACATTAACATGAAATCCAAGCTTTATGCATTGCCATTGCTGCATTTAGGACCACATGTAGCAAGTGTTTGGATTTTGTGTTTGACCGTTGTTTTGCTGTTTCGCAGAATTGGCAACCCAACATTATTGATCGGAGCATTAGAAGATCCTGGAGCAAATGAGAGAAAATGAAAAAGTAACGTAGACAAAAGGAAGGCTGTGTTGGATCATCCCAATTGGAGTAACAGTGGCATTGCAGGGGGAAAGAATTGACTGTTGACTGGCCTTTAATAATTGGGTTTTTTTTTATTATTATTACATGAGTATGGTGACTGGGACTGGTGAGTGAGTGCCAGCAAAGAAGTGACTGCTTTGGATTTGTGTCTCCTACAAAAGAAAAGGAGTCCTATTTGTTTGGCATATGGAAAAAGGTGGATAAGATCCTTCCTATATTTTATTATGGTCATGCACACGAGTGGTCTATCTACCCAACACCATGGCTCCACCCACCACCGCCTTTCTTGTCTTGGTCCTGATTTCGTATTCTTTCTTCCGCCATGAATTTGACGTTGTTTTGTTTTATTACACTGATTTGTAGTTCTTAGCTATTTGCATCATAATATTAATAATTACATGTAGGATGTACAGCCAAATGAACTGATGCAATGTTGAAAGGCCTACATCTATAGCAGCCATTTCTCACTCTGCCAGAAAACGCCCCCTCTCGGAGCCCGCAAGAAACTTGAACCATTCTAAATTGGTCCTTTTTCAAGTTGGTCTAATCAATCTAAGTCCGACCCGAAATGTACATAATTATTACATATAAACTTCAATAAAGTTGCATACAAAACCCAAATTACATTAATCCTCGTACAACTCGGCACAATGATGAGGGGATATTTTTAGTGAGAGGGCTGCTTCAAACTCACACTGAGGATTGAGGCAGCAAATACGGTTGATTATCATACGCAAGTGATGTGGTTCTTATAGAAATGTGGTCCTGCATTCCTCGACGGAGGACCATTCAATTTCATCGCCAGGGGTATAAACAAATTGTTAATATATATATATATATATATATATAAAGGCATGTGTCATCATCTAAATTAAAGTAATAAGCTTTTTGAGATTTGGACTTTTGGGACAAAAATCATAAAAAAGGGTTTGTCTACAGTAAGATAATAATTTTTTGATTTTATTATAATGTCATGAGATATCATGATATCTCATAAAAAATTGAAAAAATTATAAAAATAATGAAAAATAATAGAACTAAAAATATATATAAATAATTTTATTTATTTTATTTATCTAACAAATAAAATAATACTATAAATTACATATTTTATATTTTGTCATCTACTTTTATAAACAATAACATTAAAATAAAAATTCAACTATAGTTATGTCATATATTATTTTAATAAATACAATTTTGTTATTTCTTCATTATTAACAAATAATAATACTACAATAGTAATTAATACAAATTTTAGTATTCATCTTAATAATTTTTTTTAATTTTAAAATATCAATTATTTTACTTTGTCTTTTTTAATCTTAAATTTTTTTTTGTTATTTGTGTTATATATTTTATGATTTTATTTGTATGATTTTCCTTTCCAATATTAAAAATTAATTAATATAAATCATAAAAATTAAAGGCACCATTGTATCATTTTATTTGTATAAATTTTGTTTCATAGCTACTTTGTTTACAAATTTTGGTGTCTTTTTATAAAAAAGAAAATCAACATATTTAAAACGGCACTTGACAAAGATGTGATTTTTTTACTATTACACAAATATTTTTACTAGACAATGAAACATAAAATTACTACACAAATATTTACATTAATGAATTTTTAAGACTAAAAATGATATAATGATAGCTTTCAAATATGAGATAAATTTTACTGTTCCTTGCATTTGTTTACGTTAATAAATTTTTTACTATTTATTACTTTTTTTTATATATTTACTAAATCATAATTCATTAAACTTTTATGTTACGGACTTAATTATTTGCATTACAATAATATTTTTTTACAGTTGCTTTTACCTTCCATTATGTTTAGAATTAGCATAGCTCTTTCTTGTTATAGTAAGACACTTTTTACATATTTTATAACAAATTATACAAATTTTATATTTTTTCTCACATGTTTAAGTTACCAAAATTTTTTGCTATTTATTGAATTTTTTTTTATATATTTACATACAATAATTAATTAAAATTTTATGTTGCCAATTTAATTATTTCATTACAACAATATTATCTTATGGTTGTTCTTATATCTAATAAGTTTAGAATTGTCATAACTATTTTTGAGTGTATTACGATACTTTTTACCTATTCTAGGCCAAATGATATGAATTTTACACTTTTCTCACTTGTTTATGTTACCTATTTGTTTTTTAAATTTTAACTATTTTTCTTATATATTTACAAAAACAATAATTAATTAAAACTTTACGTTGCTTACTTAATTATTTACATTATAATAATATCTTTTTATTGTTGTTCTTATCTTCCATTACATTTAGAATTATTATAGCTCTTTCTTAGTGTGTGTTATAATATTTTTTGCTCATTTTACATCAAATGATATAAATTTTATGATTTTTTGCACTTGTTTACATTACCTTTATGTTTTTTAATTTTTAAATATTTTTCTTATATATTTTTAAAAATAATAATTAATTAAAAGTTTACGTTGTTTGCTTAATTATTTATGTCACAATAATATCTTTTTGTAATTGCTTTTACTTTTCATTACGCTAAAATTATTATAACCCTTTTATAGTGTATTACAACATTTCTTACCCATTTTACGACAAAGAATGCAAATTTTACGTTTTTCTCACTTTTTTATATTACCTATTTGTTTTAAAATTTTTAGCTATTTTCTTTCATATTTATAAAAATAATAATCAATTAAAATTTTGGGTTATCTATTTAATTATTTATGTTATAATAATATTTTCTTATAATTATTCTTACTTTCCATTATATTTAAATTATTTTGATTCTTTCTTACCCATTTTATGCCAAATGATACAAATTTTATATTTTTCTTACTTTTTTATATTTAGTAGCTATTTTTATATATTTATAAAAATAATAATTAATAAAAATTTTACATTGTCTACTTAAATATTTACATTACAATAATATTTTCTTATAGTTGTTTTTACCTTTAATTACATTTAAAATTATCATAACTTTTTTTTAGTGTATTATGACACTTCTTATCAATTTTATGCTAAATGATACTAATTTTACATTTTTTTCTCACTTGTTTACTTTACAAATTTATTTTTTAATTTCTAGCTATTATATATATATATAGTAAGAATAATTAATTTAAAATTTTACATTATCATCATAATTATTTAACTTACAATAATATATTTTTACATTTATATTTTACTACATTTAGAATTAGTACAATTTTTTTTTAGTGTGTTACGACACTTCTTACTTATTTTATTCAAAATAATACTAACTTTATGATATTTTTCACTTGTTTATGTTAATAATTTATTTTTTAATTTTTAGCTATTTACAAGAACATTAATTAATTAAAATTTTATATTGTCAACATAATTCTTTATTTTACAATAATATCTTATTATGGCGATTTTTACTTTTCATTATATTTAGAATTGTC